ATACAATCGAAAAGGGGTTATATGGGTGTATTGGTAACGACTGGACTTGAGGATCCCATAATGCTGGTACATCATCGCCATTTAATTGGACGTCATTATAGTGCAACATTTGTGGTATATACCGGGAAAGTTGTGAATCTAAAACCTATAAGAGACTTATGTTATTCATTATATCAAGGAAATTTTGTTAACAGTGTGGTTTATTTTCAAACTATTGAGGGTTTGAAACAAGTATATAGTATAGAAATGTTTCCAAAATTTAAAATGATTAATAGTACCGACTATAAAGAATTTTATCGAGAAATGAAGCAAAGGATTGGTTCTGCTTCCCAAGATGTCCAAGGTTATAAATTCTTTACACCCCTTAAGCAAGATATACCAAATGTCTTTACATTTAGGGATCAAATTGGTAAGGACGTCTTTCAGGGAACTAGTTATTCTATATTAAAGACATTTATACGCAGCATAAATGGTTCCCTGGAGAGGTACGATCATATTGGAGATAATAATACAAATTTATTAAATATCATTAACATGCATGAGGTTTTGCAATTGATACGTCACAAACGTATAGATTTAACCGCTCATGCCTATTCGCTTTTTCAACCCGATGATGATTTGGATAAAAGTTATCCTTTAATGGTGGTAAAGTGGTGTCTAATGGTACCATTAAGAAACAAGATTTCTACTTTTTTCTATACCCTGCAGCCTTTCGAAGGAAAAGTATGGTATCTGATTGTTATATCATTAATGGCTTTATGTATAAAGGATTTTATCTGCAAAAAGTTTAAGTGGAGAAGAAACGCCATTTGGCTTAATAATTTTTGTCATATTTTAAACATTTCTCCTACCCGCTCAATTGCCATCAGTCATCTGTCGAGCTATCTTTATTATGTCTCAATATTTTCCTTTGGATTTTTTCTTTGTGCTTTTTACACCTCTTATCTGGGTAGTGTCTTAACCGTTTCTCTATTTCGTGCCCAAATTAATAATCTAGACGATTTAATAGCCTCCAATCTTTCCGTGATGATAATTGATTACGAACTAGAATTCCTCATTCTAGAAGGCTATCACGCCTCTGCCGAATTTATAAAACTTTTAAAGCCCGTAAACTCCTCGACATTTTATAAACATCAAATCTCTTTGAATACTTCTTATGCCTATTTTACTACCGACGATAGATGGCGCTTTTTACACGAATGTCAGAAACATTTAAAGCAGAAACCTTTTAAATTTAGTGATATTTGTTTCGGCTCCTATCATTTGGCTTATCCCATGCAAACGGATTCTCCTATATGGCGTGATTTGGAATATTTTCTATTTCATTTACATGCTTCGGGTTTGTTTCAGATGTTCGAGAATAAGCTTTACAAAATGCTTTTAAGGGGGGTCTTCTGAAGCGTTTGGAGGAATCGAAATCCTATACATTTGCAGGTTTGGAACATTTGAGGTTAGTTTTTTATATATTGGTCACAATGTATGTGGTTTCTTTTGGGTGTTTCTTGATGGAAGTAATTTATTATAAACTTAAAATAAAAAATATAAATAAAAAACTTTTCAAAATGTTGTTAACTTTAAAAGAATTATTAAAAAGTTAGATGAAGTTTTATTTTATGTAACTAACTAACTACAACTAACTAACGAACTAACTAACAACTACTAACTAACTACTAACTAACTAAATAACTAACTAACTAACTAACTAACTAACTAACTAACTAACTAACTAACTACCTAAACTAACTAACTAATAACTAACTAACAACTAACTAACTACTAACTACTAACTAACTAACTAACTAACTAACTAACTAACTAACTAACTAACTAACTAACTAACTACTAACTAACTAACTAACTAACTAACTAACTAACTAACGACTAACTAACTACTACTAACTAACTACAACTAACTAACTAACTAACTAACTAACTAACTACGACTAACTACTAACTAACTAACTAACTAACTAACTAACTAACTAACTAACACTAACTAACTAACTAACTAACTAACTAACTAACTACTAACTAACTAACTAACTACTAACTAACTAACTAACAACTAATAACTAACTACTAACTAACTAACTAACTAACTAACTACTAACTAACTAACTAACTAACTAACTAACTAACTAACTAACTACTAACTAACTAACTAACTAACTAACTAACTAACTAACTAACCTACCTAACTAACTACTACTAACTAACTACTACTAACTAACTAACTAACTAACTAACTAACTAACTAACTAACTAACTAACTAACTAACTAACTAACTACTAACTAACTAACTAACACTAACTAACTAACTAACTAACTAACTAACTAACTAACTACTAACTAACTAACTAACTACTAACTAACTAACTACTACTAACTAACTAACTAACTAACTAACTAACTAACTAACTAACTAACTAACTAACTACTAACTAACTAACTAACTAACTAACTAACTAACTAACTAACTAACTAACTAACTAACTAACTACTAACTAACTAACTAACTAACTAACTAACTAACTAACTACTAACTAACTAACTAACTACTACTAACTAACTAACTAACTAACTAACTACTAACTAACTAACTAACTAACTAACTAACTACTACTAACTAACTACTAACTAACTAACTAACTAACTAACTAACTAACTAACTAACTAACTAACTACTAACTACTAACTAACTAACTAACTAACTAACTAACTAACTAACTAACTAACTAACTAACTACTAACTAACTACTAACTAACTAACTAACTAACTAACTAACTACTAACTAACTAACTAACTAACTAACTAACTAACTAACTAACTAACTAACTAACTACTAACTAACTAATACTAACTAACTAACTAACTACTAAGTAACTAAGTAACTAAGTAACTAACTAACTAACTAACTAACTAACTAACTAACTAACTAACTAACTAACTACTAACTAACTACTAACTAACTACTAAACTAACTAACTAACTAACTAACTAACTAACTACTAACTAACTAACTAACTAACTAACTAACTAACTAACTAACTAACTAACTAACTAACTAACTAAACTAACTAACTAACTACTAACTAAGTAACTAAGTAACTAAGTACTAACTAACTAACTAACTAACTAACTAACTAACTAACTAACTACTAACTAACTAACTAACTAACTAACTAACTACTAACTAACTAACTAACTAACTAACTACTAACTACTACTAACTAACTAACTAACTAACTAACCTAACTAACTAACTAACTAACTAACTAACTAACTAACTAACTAACTAACTAACTACTAACTAACTAACTAACTACTACTAACTAACTAACTAACTAACTAACTAACTAACTAACTAACTAACTAACTAACTACTAACTAACTACTAACTAACTAACTAACTAACTAACTAACTAACTAACTAACTAACTACTAACTAACTAACTACTAACTAACTACTAACTAACTAACTAACTACTAACTAACTACTAACTAACTAACTAACTAACTAACTAACTAACTAACTAACTAACTAACTACTAACTAACTAACTAACTAACTAACTAACTACTAACTAACTACTACTAACTAACTAACTAACTACTAACTAACTAACTTCTAACTACTAACTAACTAACTAACTAACTAACTAACTAACTAACTACTACTAACTTAATTAACTGTTAGTTAGTGCAATTGTTAGTCCGGATTATAGTCTACTTTGTAGTCTGGACAGTAATACAATCTACAGTCTGTACTATAGTTATTCTTTAGTCAAGTCAACTACAGTCAAGTCTATAGTGTAGATAATAGCCTAGCTTATAGTCTGGTCTATAGTCTCGACTTGATTATAGTCTTAAGTCTGGATTACAGACTTGACTAGAGTTTTGACCAGTGTGGACTATAGTTTAGTCCACTGTTTGGATTATAGTCTGGTCTATAGTTTGGACTTTTGTCTAGTTAATAGACTTGGCTATAGTCAGGACTTGGAGTATACTAAATTCTGGACTATAGCCTAGTCAATAATCTGCAATATAGTCCAGCGTATAGTCTAGTGTATATGACTATGGCCAGTTCCAAGTATTTGACTTCATATAGATTATTCGAATAATAATAAAAATAGCCGCAATAACGATTAAATCTTTAAGTTTACTAAATATGTAATCAATTTGTTACACATAAACATTTTGTTTTTCTTCTGCCTGCAATACAGTTCAGACAGTTCGCCGACATTTGTCAAAACCCCTCAATAACAATAACATACCACTTAAAACATGCAATTCCTTGAGGGCATGTTTACATGACCTAACCGGAGTTGTTAACAGGAGTTTAAAAATAATTTCTTTTGCTTGTTAAAAGGTATTCCTTAAACTTAAAATAACATTAGTGGAATTAGTTTTTGGAAAACTTTATTAACATGAACATCGGAAAAGTAACACTCTTGCTACTGCTAATATTGGCCTTCTGGCGTACGGTGTTGTTGTGGGATATGAAATTTCTACTAAACAATATATTACCTTTGAGTACCATCATGCAAACGCAAGAAATCAATTGGTTTATATCACAACGTTTGGACAGCGAAAGCAGTGAACATTTGGATCAATTTTTCAATACCATACATCGTCATACGCCCATAACCACAAATGGTTTTCACCAATAATAGTGATATCAGGATAATAAAAACTACCAGCAAACGCAATTATATGGGCATAGTATTGACTACGGGTCCCTCGGATCCCATAATGTGGCTGCATGATCGTGTACTTTTGGGACGCCACTATTATATGAATTTTGTTATATTGGTTAAGCCTTTGGAAGATTTTACGATAGCCGAGAGAATTTTGCGTAAATTGCATAGAAATAATTTTCAAAATTCCTTTCTCTATGTGGGTTACTTGAATGGTTTCTTCCGATTTGTTGGGCATTAATTCTTATCCCGAATTTAAAATTGAATTGCGTACTTATTTCTTAAGGGATTTAAGAAAGACAATGGGTAAAGTATTAGCTGGTGGAATGGATTGTCAAGGCTTTAAGTTTTATACTCCTTTACGTTTGGATTTGCCCGGAGTTTTTCGCTATTACAACAAGCAGAACATAATAGAGAAGCAGGGTATAGCTTATCGCATTTTAAATTTATTCATAAGCTATATAATGCCTCCATAGAGCCCTATCCAATGCCCGCTGATCACTTAGGAGGCATAGTGGTAAATATGAAGGATACATTGCAATTGATAAGGAATAAAAGCATTTTAATAACGGCCCATGCCTATGCTCTCTTCGAAACTGATGATACCATAGATAAAAGTTATCCCTTAATGGCGGTACGCTGGTGTTTAATGGTCCCACTTAAGAATACCATTTCCACGTTTTATTATCCCATTAAACCTTTTGCCGCTTATGTCTGGTTTATATTGATATTTACCTTCTTTGCATTGGCCACCACCGATTGCTTGTGGATTATATGGGAGAGTCAAAAGGATCCTTCCAAGCGTTCTCACCTAATGTGGCATTTGCGTTGCAGTATTTTAGATAATCTTTGTTATATGCTTAATATATCCGCTTCTAAGAATATAAAACGCCCCACCTGGGTAAGGTTTTTCCTTTATAGCACTGTATTTTTCCAGGCTTTCTTTTTATCTACGGGCTATACCTCCCTGCTGGGTAGTATTTTAGCAGTTACCCTCTTTCGCGATGAAATTAATACCTTGGAGGATCTTATCAAAGCCAACATCTCTACCTTAATAATAGACTACGAATATGATTTTTTGCTAGGGGGTCAATTGAACTTACCCTATGATTTTCTTAAACTCATAACACCCGTCGACTCGGCCACGTTTTATCATCATCAATCGCGTTTAAATCAAACTTATGCCTATTTTGTTACCGATGAAAAATGGCATTTCCTGCAGCTTCAACAAACCACTCTTAAACAGGGTCTTTTTAAGCTCACCGATATCTGTTTTGGTTCTTTTCATTTGGCTTTTCCCATGGAAACGGATTCACCTTTGTGGCGTAATTTGGAATACTTTATCTATAGGGTGCATTCTTCGGGCATGTTACACTATTATGAGAGTATTTCGTTTGAACATGCTGTCTATGCTGGGTATGTGCAACGCTTTACCGGTGGTAATGATTATCAGGCCGCCGGCTTGAGTCATGTATCAATGGTTTTTCTAATGCTGTTGGTGGTGAGTGCTGTTTGTGTTTTAATATTTTTGGGTGAGTGTCTTCATTATAGATTACAGAAAGGTGGTGGTAATCTTAGTTTTAAGTTATTGTTTTGGAAATAAAGTGATCGAATATGGAACAAATTGGTTGTTTTGTTTTAGGACGGGAAAATAAGCTGAACTATCGTATGTACTTTGAGGAGTTGGGATCTCGGAAACCAACTTGCAGAATTTTTACCATTTCATTAGCAAATACCTGCAGTTCAGATGTGGACACCTCGCTAGATAGATAGATAGATAGATAGATAGATAGATAGATAGATAGATAGATAGATAGATAGATAGATAGATAATATAGATAGCTAGATATATAGATAGATCGATCGATCGATCGATCGATAGCTCGCTAGATCGCTCGCTCGCTCGCTCGCTCGCTCGCTCGCTCGCTAGATCGCTCGCTCGATCGCTCGCTCGCTCGCTCGCTCGATCGCTCGCTCGCTCGCTCGCTCGCTCGCTCGCTCGCTCGCTCGCTCGCTCCTCGCTCGCTCGCTGCTCGCTCGCTCGCTCGCTCGCTCGCTCGCTCGCTCGCTCGCTCGCTCGCTCGCTCGCTCTCGCTCGCTCGCTCGCTCGCTCGGCTCGCTCGCTCGCTCGCTCGCTCTCGTCGCTCGCTCGCGCTCGCTCGCTCGCTCTCTCGCTCGCTCGCTCGCTCGCTCGCTCGCTCGCTCGCTCGCTCCTCGCTCGCTCGCTCGCTCGCTCGCTCGCTCGCTCGCTCGCTCGCTCGCTCGCTCGCTCGCTCGCTCGCTCTCTCGCTCGCTCGCTCGCTCCTCTCGCTCGCTCGCTCGCTCGCTCGCTCGCTCGCTCGCTCGCGCTCGCTCGCTCGCTCGCTCGCTCGCTCGCTCGCTCGCTCGCTCGCTCGCTCGCTCGCTCGCTCGCTCGCTCGCTCGCTCGCTCGCTCGCTCGCTCGCTCGCTCGCTCGCTCGCTCGCTCGCTCGCTCGCTCGCTCGCTCGCTCGCTCGCTCGCTCGCTCGCTCGCTCTCTCGCTCGCTCGCTCGCTCGCTCGCTCGCTCGCTCGCTCGCTCGCTCGCTCGCTCGCTCGCTCGCGCTCGCTCGGCTCTCGGCTCGCTCGGCTCGCTCGGCTCGCTCGCTCGCTCGGCTCGCTCGCTCGCTCGGCTCGCTCGGCTCGCTCGGCTCGCTCGGCTCGCTCGGCTCGCTCGGCTCGCTCGGCTCGCTCGGCTCGCTCGGCTCGCTCGGCTCGCTCGGCTCGCTCGGCTCGCTCGGCTCGCTCGCTCGCTCGGCTCGCTCGGCTCGCTCGCTCGCTCGGCTCGCTCGGCTCGCTCGGCTCGCTCGGCTCGCTCGGCTCGCTCGGCTCGCTCGGCTCGCTCGGCTCGCTCGCTCGCTCGGCTCGCTCGGCTCGCTCGGCTCGCTCGGCTCGCTCGGCTCGCTCCGTTCGCTCCGCTCGCTCGGCTCGCTCGGCTCGCTCGGCTCGCTCGGCTCGCTCGCTCGCTCGGCCCGCTCGGCTCGCTCGGCTCGCTCGGCGCGCTAAGCTAAGATGGTTTCCAAAATCCTTTTATCAAACTATATCCAATATCGTTCCTAACGATGTGATCTACTATCAAAGTCTGTTTTAGTGAAAAATCATGATTTTTGGATTTCATTTTGGATTTTAATTTATTATTTTAAAGGGTTTACAGTTCATGGAGGACTAACTTATGTAAGAGTTTCATTCTCCCCATTTATGTGTCATGATTCATCATTTTTAAAACAAAAACCTAAAACCATTGGAAATAAAGAACACGTTTCTTAAATCAAACATTTAATATCTTTATTCTTCAAAATCGAACACTTACTTACAATTCACATATCTTTCGTTTAATCCAAAAAAATCCTTTTCCTCAGCGACTCTTAATAACCACCACTTTCATTTCAAGTATGAAAGCGAAACCAGCCAACATCAAACCCAACCACAGATAATCCAAATTAAACGAAAAAATGCCAATATTCAAAGGCAGCGGATATTCAAATCGATCAATATCATATGAACGTAGCCTATAAATAAGGCATCAGCAAAGGCCTGCGAACGCCAGTGGGTGGTAAAGCCAAATTGAGAGGCGGACATAATGAAATTCTGCAAAGGTTTGGCTAAATGCGAGTCACGTTGTATGGGAAAGACATGATAGTAGGGACCAATGCAAATGGATGAAAGGCGAAAGAGAGGTTTCTTTAAGTATAGCTGCTGTTTGTTAAGGAACGACCAACGATCCGATTGTATGCTATAGCCAAAGGAACTATTGAAACGATCACGATGTTTATCCAATTCACCCTTCGAACTCACCACTATTAGGTCCAAAAACTTTTGAGAATAATTCATTTCCTTCATTTTCTCATACTCATAGTCCATCATCATGAGTGGCAAATTGGCGCGTATGACATCGTCTACAGTGTCGATTTGTTGTTGAGCGGTGGCAGTGGTTAAATAACTGGTCATCTTGGACATGTAGAGATTGGTGGAAAAGAAACCCACAATGAAAAGTAAAATAAATAAAAAGCGTAGACGTATGTAGGGTAGCGTTAGAAGCCTTAGAGGAACTATATAGCAAATGGAGCAAATAGACTGAAGAAATGCTAAGGAAAGATCCCTCTCCCAGGAGGGTGTGCATATCCAAATGCCCACGCCTATATAAAAAACGCTAAAGAATATCAAATACCAACTGTAGGCATGAAAACCTCGCTTCACATACTCATGTTCGGGTGAACGATTCTGATAGGGCACCATAATACACCAGTCATTAATGCCTATAGGATAACTGGCCCCCACTAGAGAAGCTATCATGGCGGTATAGGAATTGACGCCGATTTCTAAATCTTTTTCCTCTACCATATGGATAATGGCATTAATATCCAGTGGCTCCTCATCGGATTTATCCTTGACGGTGTCATTGAAGGTGGCATTAATCGCTTCCACAAAGGCTATAAACAGTTTACCCGACGTACCGCTAATTTCATCCTGCTGGTGTTTGCGAGGAAAGCGAGACATGCGAAATACTCGGGGTAAGTCGTGGCGTACCATAGTCTGCAATTCATAGCCTTCAAAATCTCCGGAAAAATCAACAAAGAAATCAGTAGCTGACCAATCATCAGTCTTATTAACAATATTCCCCACCGGATAAGGATCATACATATAGATATTATTCCTTATAGTAATGAGTACAGTATTTAGGAACTGTTTTTTCCACACCCAATCGTATAACAAACGTATGCTGTCGTAAAATATCGTATACTGCTCGAAGGTATTATAAAACTCATCCGTTTCCACGATGGGGAATAGTATGAAAATAGTCTTAAAATATCTAGCACCCTTCATACTTAAAGCGGCCAATTCCATTATAGGATCCTCTCCCTCCGTGGTCAAGATCAAACACAGCGTAGGAGTACTCAGAAAACCAGCCATTTTACTCGGATCATTAATAATCAATATCGTAGGAGCCGTGGGAAAAGCATCCCAAAAATCCTCAAAGAAAATAGTAGCCGTATCCGTATCTCGAGCCAAACGTTCCGATATAAAGAAAACGAAATTTTTAAACTGATACAGCTCATGTATACCGCTCACCACTTTTATGACTAGTGAGTTATTAACCATTTGAGGATATGGTTGCGTTTCATTGCTCAATAAACTGGCCGATGAGGTGAGTAACAGCAAGGCCGTGGTTGTATTTAAAATCATGTTGCAGCTGTAATGTTTTAACAATGCTAAACGACTAACGAGTGTTGGCAGCTGGCGGAGTTTGTTAACTAAATGTTAACATGTTCAGTTATTTGCAATTCATTTCGTTTTCAAGTGGACAGTTAAGCTATTAATTTTAAGATTGTAAATAATAGAATGGTGTCATGAAATTTATGGAATTTTTAATCAACTACATGAGAGAAATAGTGGGAGGTGGTAGGAAAAGTTTGGGCACTAGAGAAGTGGATATATAGTGTAGTTAATAGTATGGACTATAATCTGGACTATAGTCTAGCCTATAGTTTGGTCTATAGTTTAATCTATAGTCTGAACTATATTCGTGTCTATAGTCTGGACTATAGTCTAGTCTATAGTCTGTACTATAGGTGGACTATAGGTTAGTCTATAGTCTGGACTAAAGGTTAGTCTATAGTCTGGACTATAGATTAGTCTATAGTCTGGACTAAAGTCTATACTATTGTCTAGAATATAGACTAGACGATAGTCTAGTCTATAGTCCGGACTATAGTCTAGTCTGTAGTCTGGACTATAGTCTAGTCTATAATCTGGACTATAGTCTAGTCTTTAGTCCGGACTATAGTCTAGTCTATAGGCTGGACCATAGTCTAGTCTATAGTCTGCCCTATAGTCTAGTCTAGAGTCTAGACTATATAGTCTGGACTATAGTCTATGGCCTGGACTGTAGTATAGTTTATAGTTTTGACTGGATCTATAGTTTGGACTATAATCTAGTCTACAGTCTGGTCTTTAGTCTGGACAGGAATCTAATCTATAGTTTGGACTATAGTCTAGTCTATAGTCTGGTCCATAGTCTAGTCTATAGTTTGTTTTGTAGTCTAGTCTATAATCTTGTCTGTAGTCTAGTCTATAGTCTGGACTATAGTTTGGACTATAGTTGAGTCTAAAGTCTGAACTATATTCGTGTCTATAGTCTGGACTATAGTCTAGTCCACAGTCTGTACTATAGATTAGTCTATAGAGTGGACTATAGATTAGTCTACAATCTGGACTATAGTCTAGCATCTGTACTATAGGTTAGTCTATAGAGTGGACTATAGATTAGTCTACAATCTGGACTATAGTCTAGCATATAGTCTATACTATTGTCTAGAATATAGACTATTCTATAGTCTGGACTATGACCTTTAATCTGAGCAATATTCTAGTCTATAGTCTAAACTATAGTCTAGTCTATGATCTCGGCTAGACTATATTCTATAGCCTGGACTTTTGTTTAGAGTATAGTCTTGACTGGGATCTATTCTGTAGTTTGGACTATAATCTAGTCTACAATCTGGTCTGTAGTCTAGTCTATAGTCTTGACAGGAATCTAATCTGTAGTCCAACAATAGTCTAGTATATAGTCTGGTCTATAGTCTGATCTGTAGTCTAGTCTATATTCTAGTTTATAGTCTGGATTATAGTCTAGTCGATAGTCTGCACTATAGTCTGTATTCTAAGTTATATTCTAGTCTATAGTCTGAATTATATTATAGTCTATGATCTAGACTATAGTCTAGTCTATGATCTGGACTATAGTCTAGTCTGTAGTCTGAACTTTAGTCTAGTCTATAATCTGGACTACAGTCTGGTCTATAGCCTAGACTATAGTATAGTCTATAGTCTGGACTATATTCTGGACTATAATCTAGTCTATAGTCTGGACTATAGTCTAGTCTATAGTCTGGACTATAGTTTAGTCTATAGTCTGGACTATAGTTTAGTCTATAGTCTGGACTATAGTCTAGTCTATAATCTGGTCTATAGTATAGTCTATATTCTGGACTATAGTCTAGAGTATAGTCTGGACTTTAGTCTAGTCAATAGTCTGGACTCTAGTATAGTCTGTATTCTGGACTATTGTCTAGTCTACAGTCTGGACTATAGTCTAGGCTATAGTCTGGACTATAGTCTGCACTATAATCTAGTCTATAGTCTGGACTATACTCTAGTCTAGACTATAGTCTAGTCTATAGTCTAGTCTAGACTTTAGTCTAGTCTATAGTCTAGACTTTAGTCCGGACTTTTGTTTATTCTATAGTCTGGACTATAGTCTGGTCTATAGTTTAGACTTTTGTCTAGTCTGTAGTCTGAACTGTAGAATATTTTATAGTAGAACTCTAGTCTTGTCTATAGTTTAGTCTATAGCAAAGTCCACTGTAATGCCAGTATACCATCTAAATGGTATAATCCATTCTCTTGAACTTTTAAAACACACCTCGCATTTTTTTTAACATTTTACAGTTATATTGTCTGGTAAATAAATAAAAATGTAAATATTTCATTTCATGTACATAATTTGTTTTATTTGATGACATTTTGCTAGTAGGCGTAGAAATGCATAAGATTAGTTTTGGATTTAACAACGATTTAGATAAGCAATCTGTCATAATTTGTTCTATTTGTTTAGGACAGTTAATAAAGGGTAATGCTAAAAAGCTTAGTTAATATTTCTAGTCTATAGCCTAGTCTATAGACTAGTCTATAGTTTAGTCTGTAGTCTTGTTTATAGATTAGTCAATAGTCTTGTTTGTAGTCTAGTCTATATTCTAGTCTGTGGTCTAGTCTATAGTCTAGTCAACATTATGATGGGGCCACCCTATATGTTTTTGAACTAAATAGTTGAATAGAAAATGAACATATTTCAAAATTACTATAGACTCCTTTAAATATGGCTATGAGCAACGCAACATTGTAGTTTAACGACAACACTTCATTTGTCAAGTGAAAGTAAAACAAAATGGCTATAAAACCTGCTAAAATGTTTTCCAACAGTTTCCATTTTTTTTATAATAAATTTACTATAGTTTTAAACGAAATAATGATTTGCTTTCATGTTCTCATATTAAATTTTTTGAAAAACTAATTAAAGACCTAACGGATCATATTGTTGTTGTTGATTTCAGATGCATCAATATATTACGAAACTCTAACGTACAATGTGGCGATGCCCAACAGTTGATTGCAATCGACATTCTAAAGGTATGGCAACCGCTAGATCGACCACCTTGCAACATATTTAAATATGGGCCGAACAATGTATTCTCAAATTCCCGTGTAGTTTCCGCTTAATTATTGAGCTGTACCGTAAATATCTTGAGCCAATCTTAGTCTTCCAACTAAACTGCACTAAATTGTTTACCTTAGTACCTTAACTAGGCAAAAAACGTTTAGATGGTTTGACCAAATATGACTTGCTATGTTGAAAGATTCCAGACGTTTTCAGTGTCCCCATAATACTGCCAAATGTAAGTTTGTCTATTGTTATATTTGTTCTGATTTTAATAGAAGTTTCTAATGGTTCTTCACATCTACTGTTACCAATATGGCCTTTAGATTTGAAACGTATGCCAACATTTATGACCATGAACTTAAATGGTCACTTGAACCATTTAACTTCGTTAAATTAATATTATTGATATGACACTATGGGACTATTGATGAGAAATATTTGTTAAAAAATGTGAAATAATTTTTAATGAAAAATATTTCTTGCCAAATTCTATAGTCCAGAAAATGGGATAGAATATCTAATAGACTATTATTCAGATTATTGACTAGACTATACACTAGACTATAGACCAGACTATATATTAGACCATACAGCAGACAATAGACTAGACTATAATCCAGACTATAGATTAGATTATAGCCCAGACTATAGACTAGACTGAAGTACAGACTATAGACTAGACTATAGTCCAGACTATAGACTAGACTATAATCCAGACTATAGAATATGCTCTAGTCCATACTATAGACTACACTATAGTCCAGACTATAGTCCAGACTTTAGACTAGACTATAGTCCAGACTTTAGACTAGACTATAGTCCAGACTTTAGACTAGACTATAGTCCAAAGTATAGACTAGACTATAGTCGAGAGTATAGACTAGACTATAGTCCAGACTATAGACTATAGCCCAGACTATAGACTAGACTATAGTACTAACTATAGACTTGACTAGACTATAGTCCAGACTATAGACTAAACTTTAGACTATAGTCCAGACTATAGACTAAACTTTAGACTATAGTCCAGACTATAGACTAAACTTTAGACTATAGTCTAAATTATAGTCCAGACAATAGACTAGACTATAGTCCAGGCTACAGAATAGATATAGTCCAGACTATAGACTAGACTATAGTCCAGACTATAGACTAGACTATAGTCCAGACTATAGACTAGACTATAACCCAGACTATAGTCCAGACTATAGACTATAGTCCAGACTATAGACTATAGTCCAGACTATAGACTAGACTATATTCCAGACTATAGACTAGACTATAGACTAGACTATAGTCCAGACTATAGACTAGACTATATTCCAGACTATAGACTAGACTGTAGTCCAGACTATAGACTAGGCTATAGTCCAGACTATAGACTAGGCAATAGTCCAGACTATAGACTAGACAATAGTCCAGACTATAGACTAGACAATAGTCCAGACTATAGACTAGACTTTTGTCCAGATTGTAGTCCAGACTTAAGACTATACTATAGTCCAGACTGTAGCCTAGACTATAGAATAGACTATAGTCCAGACCATAGAATAGACTTTAGACTATAGTCTAGATTATAGTCCAGAGTATAGACTAGACTATAGTCCAGGCTACAGAATAGACTCTAGTCCAGAATAAAGACTTGATTATAGTCCATACTATAGACTAGACTATATTATAGACTAGAATATAGACTATAGTCCAGACTATAGACTAGACTATAGTCCAGACTATAGACTAGACTATATTCCTGACTATAGACTAGACTATAGTCCAGACTATAGACTAGACTATATTCCAGACTATAGACTAGACTATATTCCAGACTATAGACTAGACTAGACTATAGTCCAGACTATAGACTAGACTATACTCCAGACTATAGACTAGACTATACTCCAGACTATAGACTAGACTCCAGACTATAGACTAGACTAGACTCCAGACTATAGACTAGACTATAGTCCAGTCTATAGACTAGACTATAGTCCAGTCTATAGACTAGACTATAGTCCAGTCTATAGAGTAGACTATAGTCCAGACTATAGACTGGACTATAGTCCAGACTATAGACTAGACTGTTGTCCAGATTGTAGTCCAGACTATAGACTAGACTATAGTCCAGACTATAGACTAGACTATAGTCCAGACTATAGACTAGACTATAGTCCAGACTATAGACTAGACTATAGTCCAGACTATAGACTAGACTATATTCCAGACTACAGAATGTCTATTCTATAGTCCAGACTACAGAATGTCTATTCTATAGTCCAGAATATAGACTTGATTATAGTCCAGAATATAGACTAGACTATAGCCCAGACTATAGACTAGACTATAGTCCAGACTATAGACTAGACTATAGTCCAGACTATAGACTAGAGTATAGTCCAGACTATAGACTAGACTATAGTCCAGACTATAGACTAGACTATAGTCCAGACTATAGAGTAGACTATATTCCAGACTATAGTCTAGACTATAGTCCAGACTATAGACTAGACTATAGTCCACACTATAGTTAAGACTATAGACTAGACCTAGCCTATAGACTGGAATACTGTTCTATTTGTATTTTTTTGTTAAATCACAGACCATAGTGCAGAATTATTTTGTTTTTCCTCTGCAAAATTTCTCTGTGCCATAAATAACACTTTTAAAGCCATATAATTAAAATTTTTATAAACAAAAAAATTCGCATAAACACACTTAACGGTGATATCTGCAAATGCTTTCACAAAATAAAGTCACTTTTTTGAATTAGTTTCCAAATAAACTTTTAGCCAACAACATTCCATTAAAATGGTCTTAAACAGCACAATTTTACATTTAATTTTGGCCTCATCAGCTGTTGCTGCTGCTGCGAATAACGCAAATGCCAGACAACTCGAGCCACAAATGGTCAATGGAACTTTAGTTATAGATATTGTAAAGAGATTACATGAAGAGTTGGAGTTAAGAAATTTTGTATTTATATATCGCCTTATTTGTACCGAGAGACAACTATTGCGGCAGTGTTTTTTGAAAATTTTTGGCTTAACTTTCCCTCCGAACCGATAATGATAATGTTGAATAATTCCCAATCTATGGTGGGTTTATTAAGCACACCCTCCTTGTGTATCATAATGACAACAGCCTGGAATGATACAATTATGGAGCTGGCCGCTTTAAGTTTGAAAAGTGTACGTTATTTTAGAACCATGTTTCTGCTGTTTCCTTTGGGGAATCAACAAGTCTCAATTTATGAAAACATACAGTTGCTGTATGGATGGGCGTGGCAAAAACAATTTCTTAATATTATGTTAATTACAGTACAAAATAATATATATCTTTATGAGCCCTATCCTAAGGGCAGAGTGGTTAATAGAACGGATGATTGGAGCATAAAAGATTTTTTCCCCAAAGACAAGCTGAACCTAAAAGGCATGGAAATTGTAGCACCTATACGTTTTGATCTACCCAGAATATTTGGTCTGAGACGTTTTCCCAATAAAGGACGTGTCAGCCGTTTATCGGGTACTTCGGGTAAATTATTTGGAGCCTTTATCAAGCATATCAATGGCAGCTATAATGACACTGTAATACTAGAGCGTGAATTTGAACCTTTCAATCTATTGGAGTTTATAGAACTAGTGGAGACTAAACAGTTAGAGATAAGTGTACACTCCTATACCTCCATGATAAATGCCTCGGTGGGCACTAGTTATCCCATAGGCATTAATGATTGGTGTCTCATGGTGCCCTATCGTAATAGTTCTCCGGAATATATGTTTTTACAAAAGAGTTTTCAACAGAACTGTTGGTTTCTCTTTTGTTTTGCTGCTGTTTATATTACTTTGGGCATCTGGTTGTGTTCTCCCAAATGGGAGCGTGATATAACTCTCTCATTTCTACAGACCATCTGCTCTCTTTTACAAATAGCTCCTATAAAACTTTATACTCTGCCCTATATACGTCTACGTTACTTATTTCTATTATTATTTGTGGTGGGCTTTTGTCTGTCCAATATCTACTTAACCAAAATGGCCAGTAATTTAACCGCTCTCAGTAGTCCGGATCAGATAAATACCATACAAGATATCATAGAAGAACAACTACAGATAATGATATTGGGTTTGGAATATCCCTCTTTACTAAATCTCAACAATAATAGTGAATTTTTAAAATTGGTATTAGCTGTCTCTAAACCACAAATGGATCTACATCGTGATCGTCTAAATACCTCTTATGGCTATAGTGTCTCCACCGATCGTTGGGATTTTCTTAATAAGCAACAGTGTTTTCTTAAGAAACCTATATTTCGTCTTACCTCCATCTGCAGCGGTCCCTTTTATCATGTCTTTCCTTTGCAAAAGGACTCACATCTGCTGCAACCCTTAAAGGATTTCATATTGGCTGTCTCGCAGTCTGGTTACACTTTCTTTTGGGATGATGAGGCCTTTGATGATGCCTTATTTTTGGGTTATGTTAAAATGTTTAAAAATGTTGACGATTTCAGAGCTTTATCCATAAATTTTTTCATTTCGATCTATGTGGTCTGGTTATTGGGTTTATTTTGTCGGCGCTAATATTTTTATTCGAAATTAAAAGATGCAGCTGTTTCAAAATACGGACAACAGTGAAAAGATGGTGCAGAAAGTTTAAGTGAAAAATTTGGTGAAATGTAAAAACATAATTTATAAAATTTAAATAAAAATTTATGTGTTTTAAAAAATAGTTTTTGTTTTAAAATTAAAAAAAGACTAGACCATAGTCCAGACTATGGACTAGACTACAGTACAGACTTTAGACTAGACTATAGTCCAGACTAGAGACTAGGCTATAGTCCAGACTATAGACTAGAATATAGTCCAGACTGTAGACTAGACTTGAGTCCAGACTATAGACTAGACTATAGTCCAGACTATAGACTAGACTATAGTCCAGACTATAGACTAGACTATAGTCCAGACTAAAGACTGCACTATAGTCCAGACTATAGACTAAACTATAGTCCAGACTATAGACTAGACTATAGTCCAGACTATAGACTAGACTATAGTCCAGACTATAGACTAGACTATAGTCCAGACTATAGACTAGACTATAGTCCAGACTATAGACTAGACTATAGTCCAGACTATAGACTAGACTATAGTCCAGACTATAGACTAGACTATAGTCCAGACTATAGACTAGACTATAGTCCAGACTATAGACTAGACTATAGTCTAGACTAAAGACTAGACTATAGTCCAGACTATAGACTAGACTATAGTCCAGACTATAGACTAGACTATAGTCCATACTATAGACTAGTCTATAGTCCAGACTATAGACTAGACTATAGTCCAGACTATAGACTAGACTATAGTCCAGACTATAGACTAGACTATAGTCCAGGCTATAGACTAGACTATAGACTAGACTATAGTCCAGTCTATAGTAGTATTTTTTATTTAGTATTGTTTTCCAGACTATAGACTAGACTATAGTCCAGACTATGGACTAGATTATAGTCCAGACTATAGTCCAGACTATAGTCCAGACTATAATTCAGACTATAGTCCAGACTATAATCCAGACTATAGACTAGACTATATACTGACTGTAGTTCAGACTATAGTTCAGACTATAGTCCAGACTATAGTCCAGACTATAGTCCAGACTATAGTCCAGACTATAGTCCAGACTATAGTCCCAGACTATAGTCCAGACTATAGTCCAGACTATAGTCCAGACTATAGTCCAGACTATAGTCCAGACTATAGTCCAGACTATAGTCCAGACTATAGACTAGACTATAGTCCAGACTATAGACTAGACTATAGTCCAGACTATAGTCCAGACTATAGTTCAGACTATAGTCCGGACTATAGTACAGACTATAGTCCAGACTATAGTCCAGACTATAGTCCAGACTATAGTCCAGACTATAGTCCAGACTATAGTCCAGACTATAGTCCAGACTATAGTCCAGACTATAGTCCAGACTATAGTCCAGACTATAGTCCAGACTATAGACTAGACTATAGTCCAGACTATAGACTAGACTATAGTCCAGACTATAGACTAGACTATAGTCCAGACTATAGACTAGACTATAGTCCAGACTATAGTACAGACTATAGACTAGACTATAGTCCAGACTATAGTCCAGACTATAGTCCAGACTATAATTCAGACTATAGTCCAGACTATAATCCAGACTATAGACTAGACTATAGTCCAGACTATAGACTAGACTATAGTCCAGACTATAGACTAGACTATAGTCCAGACTATAGACTATACTATAGTCCAGACTATAGACTAGACTATAGTCCAGACTATAGACTAGACTATAGTCCAGACTATAGACTAGACTATAGTCCAGGACTATAGACTAGACTATAGTCCAGACTATAGACTAGACTAGTCCAGACTATAGACTAGACTATAGTCCAGACTATAGACTAGACTATAGTCCAGACTATAGACTAGACTATAGTCCAGGACTATAGACTAGACTATAGTCCAGGACTATAGACTAGACTATAGTCCAGACTATAGACTAGTACTATAGTCCAGACTATAGACTAGACTAAGTCCAGACTCTAGACTAGACCATAGTCCAGACTATAGACTAGACTATAGTCCAGACTATAGGACTAGACTATAGTCCAGGACTATAGACTAGACTATAGTCCAGACTATAGACTAGACTATAGTCCAGGACTATAGACTAGACTATAGTCCAGACTATAGACTAGACCACAGTCCAAACTGTGGACTCGCATATAGTTTAGTCTTATAGTTCATTATTGTGGGTTTTAGAAACATTTTATTACATCGGAACATTTACAATTGTAGCGTCATCGACTGTATAAAAAATGCTCTTAAGTTTTCTATCATACTCCATCATTAGTGACCATGAACTTAAACGGTTCAACTGCAACTTTGTTGACAACATGATATTGGTATAAGCACTATGGGAAGAAGTCTATATATAGATGGGTAGCCGTGTCGTTAAAATAGTACGTTATGAAGTCAATAGGCTTGACACTAGTCGAGACTATAGTCATTAAAATTTATTGAACAACAGTTGTGATTACAGACCAAACTATTGACAAGGCTATAGGCTAGACTATAGTCGAAAATGTAGGCTAGATCTTAGGCAATACTATTGTCTGCACTATGTATAGGCAAGACTATTGTGTAGACTATAGTCAGGACGTAGTTTTGATGTAGATTATAGTCAAGACTATTATGTAGACTATAGTTAAGTCTATTGTATGAACCATAGTTAAGACTGTTTCTAGACTATAGTCAGACTATAGACTATACATAGTTGATACCATAAACCGGATTGTAATTTAGAGCTACACTATAGCGGAACTAAAGACCAGATTATAGTCGACACTAAAGTGTAATCCAACGGGCTAGACGGTAGTCGAAACTGTAGTCCATACAGTAGTGGTTTCATTTTTTTTTCAACCCATAGTGCCCGCAACAATATTGCAATTAGCTTATAAATAATAATATTTCAAACCTTTAATTAAAATTTTTATAAGCAAATTAAAAATTTTCGATTAAAACTCTACGGTAAGTTTTGCGAAAGTCAATGTTCAAATAATTTCACTCCGAGCAAACAGTTTTCTAGCAATCTTTTAAGCAACAACAACTTTGAAATTTCATGGCCTTAAACAGCACCATTCTACAACCTACTACTGGTCTCAACAGCTGCTCAGAATGACAGGGAAGAATGGCCACAAATGGTTAATAGTTCATTGGTTGCCGATATAGTAAGAGGATTACATCAACGTTTGGAGTTCGAAATTTTGTGTTTTATATCTCAGAACTTCTGTACCGGGATACGCATACTGCTTTCGTTTACTTTCAAGAGTTTTTGGCAGAAATTGCCGACGGCAAGCTGTTACCATTATAATAGATAATCCCAATTGGATGACTGGGTTTTTGGGTACAAACCCTGTTTGTGTTTCATTATGACTACTGGATGGCAGGATCCTATAATGGCAGCTGGCGTCAGAGAGCTTAAATGGTTTTGAAATATTACGAAACCATGTTTCTGTTATTTCCCTTAGAGCAAGAATTTAAAGAAGAAAACATAAGTTACTTTACGAGTGGGTGTGGGCAGCAGCGGTTCCTGAATACTTTGTTAGTGACTATAAATAATAATATCTTTCTATATGAACCCTTTCCCATGGGAAAAGTTGTAAATAAATCGAACGATTGGTGTCTGGAGGATTTCTTTCGTAATGATACTTTAGATTTGAAAGGTTTTGAAATCAAGACCCCGGTCCATTTCGATTTGCCGGGAGTATTTTGTTTGACACGTTTTCCCAATAAGGGAAGGCATAGTAAAATAAGTGGTTCATCGGGTAAATATTTGGAGCTTTTATGAATCATATCAATGCTACCTTTAATGATACCCTACTATATCTGCATGAATTCGAGCCTTTCGATATAAGAGATGTTATAGAAATGGTGCGAAAGCAGCAGCTGGAGTTAAGTACTCATTCCTATACCTCGATGAGAGATGATCGGGTGGGTACCAGTTATCCGGTGGGTATTAATGATTTGTGTCTTATGGTGCCTTTTCGTAATCGTACTCCCGAGCATTTGTATTTACAAATGAGTTTTCAGCAAAACAGTTGGTTACTTCTCTGCTTTGCTGCTTTATATATAACCTTAGGCCTATGGCTGTGTTCCCCCCGTAAAGAGAAGGATTGTAAGTTTATCATTTTTGCAATCCATTTGTTCCTTACTACGTTAACACCTCTTAAACTCATAACCTTTACCCTTGATCCGTTTACGTTTCTTATTTGTGCTGCTATTTGTTTTTGGATTCTGTATAACCAATTTATATCTCTCCAAAATGGCCAGTCAATTGACCGCCTATTAAGTCTCTAGAACAATCAATACCGTACAAGATGTCGTTATGCTAAGTTGCCCATAATGATGTTGGACTTTGAGTACGGAATATTTGTTGGAGAGAAACTATACTCCCGGTTTTTTGAATTTAATCGAACCGGTTTCTAAATCCGAAATGGCTAAACATCGTGATTGCCTTAACACCAGCTATGGCTATAGTGTGGCCTCCAATACTTGGGCTTTTCTCAACAAACAACAGCGTTATCTCAAGAAACCTTTATTTCGTCTTACCTCCATTTGCATTGGTCCCTTTTATCATGTATTTCCTTTGCAAAAGGATTCTTATCTCATGCAGCCCTTAAGGGATTTCATCTTATCGGTTTCACAAACTGGTTATATATTTTTCTGGGAGGATGAAGCCTTCGATGATGCCTTATTTTTGGGTTATGTTCAAATGTTTAAGAATGATCAGGGCGTTAGGGCTTTGTCTATGGATTTTTTTCGTTCAATTTTTTATGTCTGGTTGTTGGGTTTACTTTTGGCCCTGGTGACCTTTGTGTTAGAGTTAAGAAGGATAAGTTTAAGAAAGATATGTAAGGGTCTGGGTCAGTGGTTAATGTGGAAAATATATGAAATGTAAAATAAAATAAAATTTAAGTTTTAAAAAAAAAAATCAAATTTGTGTTTTGAAAAATGGAATACTTTTTAAAGATCT